TTCTTGGCTGGGCCCAGGTGTGCTCTATGAGTGTCAGCAAAGGTCCATCATCTCCACTGTAGACTGACTTGGGAACCTGTGAAAATAAACCCATAGGAAAAATGGAAGTAAAGCTCAAAGGAGGTGGTGGGTTTAGCACTTGATACTTACCTTGCGGGGTCGATTGACCAGTATCCCTTGACCTGCAATTTTGGGAGAATCTGTAGCACTGTCTTTCTAGCTCTGACTTGACTAGAACTTGGCACCCAATCCAACACAGTGACCGCATTGATGCAAACAATAGTCACAGCAGCGTAGCTTCAATAGAAAGTAAATCAAGTGCACCTTAGTTGCAGTGTTGCTTTCTTGTGTTCTTCTAGTTTGAATGGCATTGTTTCTATTGTGCCGCATAGAAGCTACAAAAAGTTGCTACAAAATGCAAAGGTTAATCACCAGTACTGTATCTCTCAATTTATTAGCTTGTTTTCTAAACAAAACTAAGACAATCAGCTCAGGTTTAATGAACAGCGGAGTGAGCTGCTAGTTCCCAGCAACAGTGTATGGATTRGATGGTATGTCCTTGGCCTTACTATAAAATCACTTAATCTGTCCTTTCCCTGTCTCTGAATTACTATATTACATTTATTCATTTAAAAAAGAAAAAGATAATCCATGAGCTTGTGTTCTATGCTTTAAAATGAGCCAAACACTCTTCAAAAGTGTGGCAGAGTTCTCCTTCAGCTCAGTGAAGCAAACTATATTTCTAGTGTATAACGGGGCGGGTTCAAAGGGCTATCTTCTGAGAAATTTGCAGAGAAGTTCTAGAGGCTGCTTCACAGCATGGAAGACATTCCCACATAAAGTTGTTGCTCTGTAAAATGTTGCAAAGACGCTTACTCATGAGCTGCGCTGATCCCCATTTAGTTCACAGTGTATGCTGATGAAGCAAATGAAAATAATTTTTGAAGTGCCTTAAAATCGCTTAATCTTTTGCCTCAAATTTGTTTAAAAGGTATAAGGGGTATCTTGCCTTAGTTACTAAATTCTCCTTGGTGCCAGCAAATTGCTACTTTCCAAGACTTTAGGAAACCCAGGGCCTCTGCTGTGTCCAGATGCCAAGCTGGAAGAAACTCGAGCTGAATTTAGTCTTGTTCTGGAGGGCCTGTGCTGTGCATRGCTTGCCGAGCAGCCTCGTCTAGCAGCAAGATGTAATCCACAGCTTACAGACTCGTGGCTAGGAGCGTTTCCCGTGGCTTTGCGTGGCCGGGGGGACTGGGTTCCACATCTTCACCGTGTGCTTGGCTGCCTCACTAGAGCAGGTAGAAACTCCTTTGCAAAACAGCAGCTAAGCCGGGCCGTGCACTAGCAAATAACATGAAAGCCAGAACTTGCAGTTTTCCTTGGCCTCRTGGTCTGAAATGGAAGGTAGCTCATAGATCTGTTGTCGTATTTGCCCCTCAATCAGTTTTAGGCACTGAACTGTAGTTAATCTGGCTTTTTCTTGAAGCCAACTCGTGCAAGTATCAAGCTGTTATCTTCTGAATGTTCTTTGCAAGTGTTGCTGTTAAAGTTTGTATTTTGTCTTCAGTGGAAGAAAACAGAAAAGTGGTTGTAATCGCAAAACCAAATGATGATAAATAAAATCTGTCAAATGGATTTCAAATTGTAAACTTTCTCTAATGTGATCGGAGCAATCCCAGAAGGACCTTCTGCCAACTTCCCAGATGTTGTCTATGGTAATCAAAACCACCAGAAAAAGCAGGAGAATAAAAGGTTTGAAGAATTTAGCTGTTTTATATGTAGYATTAACCTTGAATTCGGGATATAGAACACACTGATTCAGATGTAGAATCGTCTCCAAATGACTTCCTATGTAGATTGTGTTTTCCATGTTAATTTAGCCCTGTTCTCCCCTTAAAACCAAAACATAACAAGATGTTATTCCCTCTTCCTCTTGATATTACCTGCAACAACCTGTAAGTCTTATTGATCAATGCTCYTTTTTCCAGTAGCAAAGTTTTTAATATTGGGCCTCAGCCGGTAGGGCAGAAAAGACACAGCAGCCTATAATGTGGCTGCAGTTGGACAGTTACAACCCTGATGCTCTAATGTTGGTTTATGGTAAGGTTATTAACCCTTAGAGTACCCCTTAGGGTACTGAGGTAACCCTGCCCCACACCATGGGGAAAAGGGTCAGTATTGTAGCACTAACGCACATGGTACTTCAATTGCTGCATTAGCAAAATAGCAAAAATACTAGCTCTGTCTTTTTACCACTTAGCTCCTATGGATATCAGTCTTTGTTTAGCTGTCCTGAGCTTCAACAAAATTGCTGACACCACAGAAATGATGCTTTTCTATCCAGAATCTTGTTCCCACAGAGCATACATCAGCTAACTTGAATGTGAAGACTTAACCTGTTGAGCAAGGTGTAGCTGTTTTTGCCATCATGTTTCTGCYTGCTCTTTGGACATTGTCCTGTGCTTTGCAAAATACTTATTTTTAAAGTCAGCATAGCTGCCTAGACAAGCTGTATGGAAACAGAGGAAATTAGAGCCTCTTAATGTGCAGGGAATTCTGCCTTCCAGAAAAATAGCCATGACCTTATCCAGTCAATGACTGAATTAGCAGCACTTGTAGCAGAGCAGCACTGAAAGCCTGTATAGATGTCTGCAATCCAGTGTTACTGTTTCTCTGGAGTGTATTCTGTGTAGTACTCATTCTTGAATTTGTTGCCTTAAAGTGAGCTCCAGAGAAATATTTTATCAAGCAGCTGCAATTAATCTTTTCCGATTTAGCCTTTTCAGCCCTTTCTTTTCCACCAAAATGAGGATACTCTTTAATAGCAAAATGGCATGAGGTTCTAGGAATATGCTAGACCTGCCCTTGATGGCAGCATTAGTGACAACTGACCTTGGGTAGTTAGTAGTCACCTTTCCCGTCCATTTAAGCCATACCTTAAAATAACTTTTGTTATTTGCTAATTGATTTTTATAGCATCCTAATTGCATCAAAGCAAACTTTTAATATAATGCCATAGCAGTAAGCTTAAATGGAGTACCCTTTGTTACTGAAAGAAGGTTTAGCAGCCTCCTTTTAGAAGCTGTCTATCTAAAAATCCAACAGGTTGTCATTTAATTTATGTCTGGATCCAGATGGATCTTAAAATGGACTTTTTTGGGGGGATTGTTGTTTGGTTGTGTGCATTTTGTGGATTTTATTTATTTATTTGTTTGTTTCTAAAAAGGGGGGAGAGTGACCCCCTGKTATCTGATTGTGCCCAGCAATGCTGATAGGAGTGGACGATGCCAGAATGCACATAGGTTACTACTGCAACTCATCACCAAAAACTGCAGGAAAACTTGATGCACTCTGATAGAAGACTTTTTTTTTGTTTGTTTTATTGTCAGAGTTATCAGAGCATCTTTTTTTTTTTTTTCTTCTTTTTCCCCACCTGAGAGAAATGCAGGTAAGAAAGCCATGAATTTATGCACTTGTTTTTCCATCTCATCCTCGGGGGTTATTGCAGGTTCCCTCGCAGCGGGAAGGCAGAGGCAGGAGCRCGTGGTGCTGATGTGTCCTCTTGAAGCAGGCAGGAAAGGTTCAGTGGGTTCAGCACCACTCTGGGCAGGATGTGGGGACCTGCACTTGTAATAAGGGCACAGCTGCAAAAGGAAACCCAGCGCTTTGGCTCCGAGAACTCAATTATACYTTGTGCTGCCCTGTGACCACAGCAAAAGCAAGCTTTTTAGTTTTGACCAATGTCCTTGTTGCTGTGCTGTCTTTCTGTACTAGTGTGCCATGTTGCCTTTGAAGAAGGGACGTCCAGTGCTGCTCTTGCTCAGAAGAAAAATCTGTGTCACCCACCAAAGCAGAGAGATCCTTGCAAGGTTAAGTGACTATAACTGGCATTGAGCACTACATCCAAACGCACTGAGATATATGTGTGTATATATATGCTCAGCACTGCAGGACTGCTTCATCCCTTTCATTTTTGTATAAACCTCAGCCATTCAGTGAAAAAAATCCCCTAGCCGATCATGCAGAATTGCTAACAAGCACTTTCAGCTACTCCTACATAGCAGTCATCTTATCACAGAATCACAGAATGGCTACGGTTATCCTTAAAAATAAATCTTTAAGAGGAATTAACATATTTTTCCAGACAAAACACGCATGGTTTATATTGAACTCATAATAGCCAACAAGTTGCTGCTTTTGCAACTGTCTCGTCCTGCTGCCAGCGGCACCACTGCTAGTGTCCTTGGTCCGTGCGAGGCTCCTCCTGCACCCTGGTTCTGCAGCGGGTGCCAGGGACGGGTGGCTGCTGCGTCCTGGCTGCCCAACCTGCAGGGTAACCAGCAAACACAGAGCTAAAACGGAGCAAAAGCCAGAGCTGGGGGGCCGGGCCTGTACACAGAACAYAGATATATATTAAAAAATAAAAAGCTACCATTCAGGGTAGCACAAACAGAACAGATTGTTTAATCTGGTAAATACAGCCTGCAGTTCTGGCACGGAGGAGAACAAAAACTACTTGCAGTATTTTTGTTTATTAGCACCCCACAAGCCCTTTGCTTTCATAGTAATGAGTATATTTATATTTATTTCTCCAGCAGGAGACAGCTCAAAGAAACAGAAAATTCTTGCTGCCCAGAGCAACCTTTTACATGCAGTTGGTTTCCCCATTAGTTTCTAYCCCTGCCGAAGGCTGCGATGAAACAGGGATTTTTGTTTTACCTTTTTTTTTTTTG